ACAGAGGCCTGGAGGCACTGCAGCCGGGTGGGGGTGAGCAGCACCAGGCAGGACGGTGCTGACAGGTGGGGCCTGGTCAGGGAACCTGGGCAGATGAGGTGGCACTGCAGGGGAGGAAACCAGTGACTCCATCAGCCTCATGCTTTCTGGAGACCACCCTGGGGGCCTTGTCTGGAGGGTCTTGGAAATGAGGCTGCAGAGCTGTACAAGTGGAGAGAAGACAGAGAGGTGGGCAGTCTGGAAATGTGTGGAAGAAATCAGCCACTGGGGGGAAAAGTAAGAGGAAGAAAGGCCTGGGGAAGCTGAAGAGCCTGCCTGAGCGGCAGGTCCCATCCGAGAGTCATCCAGTGCAGATGTCTGTGAGGCACTCGGGCAGCTTTAACCTCGGGGAATGGCTCAGGGAGGCTGGCATGTAGACTCGAATAACTGAGTGTGGGAGCCCTGAGCCCCAGGGGCAGGCAGAGGGAGAAGAGGCCAAGGATGATTTGCAAGGCCCCCAGTCAGCCACAGCTGCTCACCCACCCACCCAGTGCCTCCTGGGGCCACCAGAACCTCTTGAGACAATTCTGCTTTGTTTTTCTCCCTTCTCGGGTGGTGTGCCACTTTCCTTTCACTCTTCTTTCTCCTCTCTCCATGGTTTGCTCTCCTGTCCTTGTCTCTTGCCAAGTCCCTCTGGGCCCTGGTCGGTTTTGCAGCTGTCTGATCTCCGGCATCTGCTTTGGCTGCCTCTGTCTCCGGAGAGGCACTGGGCAGCTACGGGTGGTCAGAGCCCTCAGGTAAATCCTCCTACACAGAAGTCAGCCCTGCAGCACCTGAGAGGGAGGGAGGGGACTCACTGGGCCTTCATGGGACTGGGCTTTTCTTCTCCCTTTCTCATAAACATCAGAGTGAGGGGTAAGTGCTGGCCAGGCAGCCTGGGATTCGGGGTTGAAGGAATTGCTTTTCCAGCCATTATCCCCTTTGCCAGCATGTCCAAAGAGACCTATGGTAGTGAAGGCTGCAGGACACTCCAGGGTGGGGACTCCAAGACTTCGCAGAACAGCCAGGGCTCTAAGGGACAACAGAGAGGTTGCTTCTGGCCTTTCCCAAAAAGAGGAGAGGAAGAGATGGCTAGAGGCAAGAACAGTAGGAAAGAGGCTTGGAGAGGAGACCTAAGTCAGTGTCTTAGGCCACACAAGTGTGTGACGACCAAGCACTGATGGGGCCTCTGTTGCCCATTCCCCAGGACAGCTTCTGTGCCCTGAGGAGGCGACACTGCAGACTGTCCTGCAGGACCTTCTGCACGCTCTGCCAGCTCTAACTCGGAGGGCAGTCACACCTGCTGACCCACTGCACTGCGGCAAGACCAAGGTGTTCATGACTGAGTCCATGGTATGCTGGTTCAGGAATGAGATTACAGGAGCCAGCTGCAGGCTCTCAATGGGGCAGAGAGCACAGCAGCTGGAGACCTCAGTGGGTGCCCCTTCTCCCAGCTCGAACTCCTGGAAGATGGGCGTGCTCGGGTGCTGGAGCAGTGTGCCCGCTGCATCCAGTGTGGCTGGAGGCGACACCAGCACCGAAAGCGGGAGAGGCAAAGGCGGGCGGCCGTCCTCATTCAGGCAGGTAGGTGGGGTGGGGCTGCTTGTCCTCCAATGGGTGCAGGACACAACTTGATGTTGGCTTCCTTTGAAGCTCAGCTTGTTGAATGGCCACCCTCTGAAGATGCGTCCCAGCCTCAGGTAGATGGCATGGCCCACAGTGCCCGGGATTTGAATTTCCTGTCGTTTTGCCCAGTCTCTCCAGTTCAGTGGAAACCAAGTCACTGCACAATCCTATAGGCAGGAGAGGCTACAAGTGCGACCTCACTTCCCCTTCTCAGACCGATGTAGCTGTTTGTGCCAGCGTGTAGCCCTCTCACCCCAAACACACAGGCTTTTTTTTCTTGAGACAGGGTGTCACGATGTAGCCCAGGCTGGCTTTGAATTTGCAGCCATCTTACTGCCTCGGCCTCCTAAGTACTGGAATTACAGGCATGTATCACCACACCAGCCAGGGGTTTTCTAAATAGAAAAGTAATTTTTTTCTTTTGTGGTGCTTGGGATGGAACCAGTGATTTGTGAATGGTAGGCAAGCTCTCTTACCACTAAGCTACAGCCCTAGTCTAAGACCAATACTTTTTTTAAAAAGTACAGACATGGGCTTAGGGATTTAGCTCAGTGGTTTCGCCGCCTGCTGCACAAGCGCAAGGACCTGAGTTTGATCCCCGGTACCAAAAAAAAAAAGTACAGACAATCCAGACCCCTCCCATTCCCGGCATTGCCCAGGACTGTGCCTGTGGTGGGAGGTGACCCTGTTGGGCCCTCACCAAGGGCCAGAGCACCTGTTCAATGTGCAGAGATCTCCCAGTGTGTGGGCAGTGGGAGGGGTGTTTTCTTAAAGCCCATTTTGCCTTGTGTGTTAACTTTAGAACCTTACTTTACATAGTAACATGCAGTAGCTGTTTCTGTGGGAAAAAACATGTATTTCACAGCAACTTGTGTTGACAGCCAGGGTGCCAACTGCTCTAATGACCATCTTTTCTCTTTGCTGTTTCTAATCACAACTCTTAGCCATTCGTTCCTGGTTAACTCGGAGACACATCCAGAGGCTGCACACGGCTGCCACGGTCATCAAGCGCGCCTGGCAGAAGTGGAGAGTGAGTGAGACTAGAGCGGTGGGTGGGCAGCATATGGAGATCGGGCACCAGACAGACCCGTGCAGAAAGGGTGGCACTGTGAGGGGGCTCAGCCACTCAGCCTGATCCTCGTGCACATGACAGGCATGAGGCACCTCCCTGAAGAGTGCTTAGAAGAGGAGAGGTGAAAGCAACTCTGGGAACATACTAAGCCAAGGCAGTCAGTTTACCTCTGCTCTATCAGTTCTATCTCAGGAGGCTGTTATTTTCTTTTAAAGTAGTGCACTGTTGCTGTACACTCTGCCACATGGGGCCAGTCGGGCTCAAGGTACCCAGCTATTCACAGCTAGGTGCCTTTAATTCGTCGTGTCAAGGTTCGTTAAAAAGTTTTGTTTTACATTTTCCATTGGGGGCTAGACAGTGTAAAGCTATAAAGTTATTTTTCTTTTTCAGGTCCGAATGGCCTGCCTTGCCTCTGAAGAACTGGATGGTATGGAAGAAAAGCCCATGTTTCCAGTTCCTAGTTCCCTGAGCTCCTCCCCGCTGCCCCCAGCACAGGCCAGGCTCCAGGGGGCAATAATCCGCCTCTGGCCCCTGGGACTGGTCCTGGCCAATGCAGCCGTGGGTGTGCGTGGCTTTCAGAGGAAGCTGGTGGTCTGCGCCTGCCTCCAGCTTCCCTTGGGCAAGCCCAGCAACTACAGTGTAACTACAGCACAAGATCAGACTGGTATCATGTCCATCCGAGCACTGCCTCAGGTAGGCTGTGGTGAGATAGCAGTCCTGCTTGTGACAGCTCCAGCTTGGGAGGGCAGGCAGCAAAGCCTAGGCGTCCACGGGGGGCAGACCGAGGCTGGGACATGACCTTCCCTAACCCTACTCCTTAAACCAGACCCCTGGGCACCCAAGCAGGCTTGGATTATTCCCACTGTTAAAGCTGGGAACTGGGACCCTTCCAAGGCCCTTCACCTGTGAAAACCTGTCAAGTATTGTAGCTCTGAGTCTTTTAATTAGTCCTACTTCAAAAAAACTTGGGTGTGACAAGTTTGTCACCTCAGATGACTCAATCTGACAGCATGTTTTCCTCAAATTTTATATTTTGTGTGTGTGGTAATAAGGATCTAACCCAGAGCCTTGCACATGCTGGGCAACCACTATAGCCCCAGTCCTCCCCACATTACTTGGTTTATCTCCTCTGGCTGAGGACATGAGAAGCTGTGGTTCAGTTCCTCAGACAGTGTAAGTTCCCCCCACCAAGCCCGGCCTCATAAAAATCAGCTGAGGAAAGGAGACAGGTGTGTTACGGTTAAAGGCAGAACCTCAGGGTCTGGGTCCTGGCTCTGCGACATGCACTGGGTGACCTCCATTTCATCTGTACAGTGGGCTAATATTCAGCCTGTTACATGGGCCACAGCAGAGAGTGGAAAGGAAATAGAATTTCCACACAAAAGGAATTACTGTTGGCCATAATCTAGATTAAATGTCCCATAAAAACTCAGGCCAGCATGAGTATAAACAGAAATAGCAGCGTTTTGATTCAACTGTAAGCAGTCATTAACTCAATGCTGTGGGCACCAGGCCAGTACTTGTCCACCCTGCCTCACATTTCTAACATTTGCGTTGTGAGGTACCTTTAGGGCCTGGCACTCCAGGGAGCTGAGGCCAGGCTTCATTTCTCTCTTTCTCCCTAGGGCTCGATAAAGTTTCACTGCAGAAAGTCTCCACTGCGCTATGCCGACATCTGCCCCAAACCCTCGCCCTACAGTGTTACTGGCTTTAATCAGATTCTGCTGGAAAGTCACAGGCCAGTCCACGTTTGACCTCACCCCTACTCACCTGGCTGGGTGATCCGTGGTGTCTTTGTTTCTACAAAGGCTTTTTCCTGCCAGCTGCAGCTGCCTTGCCAAAGACACTGAATCAACAACTGCCAAACTTCCCACAACAGATCCAAATGCATGCAGGCGCAACAGGTCCAGCCTGCAGCCAGGGCTGCGTGGCCAGTGCACCAGCAGGCCTGGGGCTACAGCCCAAGCACTGGAGGGGTCAGGGCTGTTGGTTACCAAGCCAGGACTGGGGCCACAGAGAACTTCCAATTTCATCACCTTTGCAGATCAAACCCAGCAGCAGATGCAACTATTCTAGAATGTATCTGTCATTACAGGGGGCACCCCATCACCCACAAGCACTTTAGAAGAAAATGGGCAAAGTCAACCTAAAATTAGCTCTAGAATTTTAACTGGGCAAGAATTTGCATTTAGTTCCTAAACCAGAAAACTTTCATATTTAGTAAATTGTTGATTTAACTTCAATGACATTAGGAACTAAAACAATGAACAGTGCAATGTACAACTGAACTGCCGTGTTGATTTTATTAATATTGATTCGGTTTTTAACTCATGGGTATAAAACTTGATATTTATGATGTCTACCTAAACTGTGCCAAAGATAAAATATTTAAAACAACCATGTGCGGCTATCAGGGCTCTCCTCATACTAGCGCACCCTGCTTTCTCCAGGGTGATCTTTTATCTTGCTTTTTCCTTACTTGGCCCAGGCTTGCTCTGCAGTCAGTTTCTCTCCCACTCTTCACTTTACTTTTTCAAATCGACTTTGCCACTGCTAAAAAAAATAAAATAAAAACAACCACAGGTATGCCAAGTCTCCTCACAAAAGATCACCACCTCGAGTAAACCCAGTCTGCCGCCTCTGGGACATCACCAGCCTCGCTGAGGGCCCCGCACCAGCCGGCCTCCTGGGAGAAGTGGTGGCCAAGTTCTGAGTGTCAACTGTGTGCTTCGGAAAGGAGCACAACAATCCAGACTAAGAGTCCTCATTCTGGGATGGTTCCACGGCCCTTAAACAGCAGTCTGCGAACTCCACAAACAAGGGCTCTTGCATGTAGGCTCTCATGAGCTCTGCTTTGTCATCCGCCTGGTCAAGGCTGACCATCAACTGTCTCAGGTGTGGATTAAGCAGTAAGTTTCTTAATGGTGCCGATTCACCTTATAAATTAACAAGAAAAAAGCTTGTCAAGTTCAAATGGGAACCCATCGAGATGTTTCAAATGTAATAAACATATGCCCTTAACCTACACAGGGCCCCCCCCCCAATTGCCACAGGTTCTGCATCCATGGGTGCGACCAACCAGATAAAAAAGTTGTCTGAGCCCAGCACAATACTGTACACCTGTAATCCCAGCACTTTGGGAAGCAGAGGCAGGAGGGTTGCCAAGTTTGGGCCCCACCTGGCAACTTGGTGACGTAGTGCAACCCTGTCTCAAAATTGTAAGGGAGGGCTAGAGATGTCGCTCAGTGTGAAAGCCCTGGGTTCAATTCACAGTACCTCAAAAAAACCTAAAAATTTGTACCAAACATGTATAAATCTTTTCATTGCTATTACTCCTTACATAACAACTATTTACACTGTTATAAAAGACTCAGTGCTGACAAGAGTTATACCAAATACTCTGAATGCCAAAGCCTATGATCCAGAGTGCCCAGTGAACAAGCATTAATACCTCTACAGGGCTTTATAATACCCTATACCTCAGTATAATCACTACCATGGGACCAATCACTTTTCAGCCTGACTTGGTGTTGTGGAAAGAATGAGAATAATGCCCACCTTTAGGAATTGCATTAATTGATTAATTACACATACAACAGAAGAGTTATAAGAACTGAATAAGTAGTGCTACAAAAATGTGGGGATTTTTCGCTGGGGGGGGGGGCGGTTACTGAGGAATGAACCCAGGGCCTTCCCATTGAGCTACAACTCTAGCCCTTATTTTTGAGACAGGGCCTTAAAAAGTCACCAAGTTGCATCACTAGGGTCAAATTTGTGATCCTCCTGCCTTAGCCTTCCACGCTGCTGGGATTATAGGCATGTGCCACCAAGGCCAACAAAAAAATGTACATTACTAACACCATTTACCATTTCCCCCTACAAAAAGGATCACATCTTGTGATTACCAGTGTATAAGTCAAGCACTGGAGTAAGGGAATATAGGTCCCTGCCATACAGATTAGGGTGTATGACATTCCCATAAAATTAAGTCCAAAGTTCTAAGGCTAGCCAGAATAGTGTCTATTTTTTTTTTTTTTTTTTTGGTACCAGGGATCAAACTCAGGTCCATGCGCTTGCGCAGCAGATGGCAAAACCACTGAGCTAAATCCCCAGCCCAATAGTGTCTATTTTGAGAGAAATAATAGGTCATGAAAAGCTTACCAAAGAAAACATGAACCACACCTTGAGGAAGAACAGAATTTTGCCACCTGCAAGATCAGTAAGATTCCAGGCAGAGGGAATGGTGAGCACTGTGGCAGGCCATTTATGTTTACAGAGCCACGTGCTCGAAGAAGAGCCTTGCATGCTATACTCTTTTTTTTCAGTAAGTTTCTAAAATCTAACTTAAAAAAAAAAGGAAATTAAGGTTGGGGGTGTGGCACAGTGGTAGACTGCTTATCTAGCATGCATTGAGTCCCTAGATTTGATCCCCAGCACGCACAAAAAAATCATTCTATACACAGAATAAATTTATCTCTGTGGTTGACAAGGAAATAGGTTCAGCACAGACTTACCTAAACTCTTTAAATTCTGCAAAGAAACTCTGTCCTCTTCCTCATCGCTATTGAGAAAATCAGCTACAGAGGAATCGTCATCTGAGGAATGCAGAGCACAATCAACTGCTCAGACTCAAGCCACCCACTCCAGATAAAAATGTATGCACAAACTCATGGGACAGGGATGGGTAAACACATAGATAAGAGCAAAACAAAAATAATACCCTTCTCTGGACTTCACAATTATACTAACTCTCCTCTTGTGTGGAAGTGAAAGAACTGGTAATTTTACTTGAACAAACGCACTGCAGTGCTACACACTTACTCCATGCTTCCCTGTGTTCTCGGGGCTTAGAGCCTGATATCTATTTCTTAGCACCCCATCTTCCCTCACCCTGGCTCTAGCCCTGTGATGGGCCAGCCAGTGACTAGGTGCTCTGTAATAACCTGTCCAACAGAATGCCCTGGGCTTCAGCCTCGGCAGAAATCACCACCACTGCCTGAACCCAACCTGGAAATCTCTCAAAGGACAGAAATGGCCCATCCCTGTGCTGTGCATCTTCGGTGCCTCTTTGAGGCACCAGAGGGGCTTCTTGCATGGCCTGGAACAGTGCATGCATGACACCCAGAGATGTTAAGGAAATTCTGGACGGGTGGATGGAGGGGAGGACACCCACTGCCACAGTAAGCTCTGAGGAGCCCCCAGCAGCAGTGAGGTGACCCAGACCAAAAGAAGCCTCCTGCCTGAGCCTCGCTCAGGTGAAATGACAGCCCAGGCAGGCCCAGGAGGGACACCCAAAGCTGTGGCTGGGGGAGGCACCTGCTAGCAGGGCCCATCTCAAACACCGAGACCATAGCCAGGGCCTTTCTCCCTCTGCCTCCTGCCCCGTGTTTCCTCCCCTGAATGATGCAACCAACCAACCTCTATTTTCCTCAGGCTGTGTAGCTTTTACAGGAGGAGCTGATTTTTTTTTCTCAACAAGATGAGCTTTAAGGTTGCATTGCTCTGAAAGAGATAAAATGTCAGGCACATGTCTCCTCCATTTGCGCAGCAAGGCTCCATCTGCTCACCAAACCAAGGGGGAAACGTGTATAGGGTGGAGATGGATACGGAGGGAGAGATCAAAGCAAGGGGCAGAATAAGGCAAACAATGAGCAACCTGGGTTCGTGCATTCCAAGAGCCTGTCCCCGTAGCCCCTGACCTGCCTAACCTCACAAGCCTTTCACCACAATTCGGTGGCACTCTGACTTTCGCAGCACTCTCAAATACCAAATTTGTATGCAGCATGTGCCAGTGGGGACACAGATGAAAGCACCACTCCCACTTTGGCAAGGTTTAGTCATAGACATCAGCAAGAAACAGATAAGGTAAGGACTTGGTCTAAGCCCAACTGAGAAAACCAGGACATAAGACTAAGGGGACTCAGTGGAAAGAAAAGTAAGTATTCTTCGCAGAGGAAAAGGGCTGTGATCCTGACACAATGAAGTCAGATACCAGAGGATGGTGATGAGCTGACTGGTAGGGCAGATGTGGCAGGCGCTTGGGGCACAAGAGGAGGAAGCCTTGTCCACGGCCATACCATCCTGAACACATCTGGTCTCGTCTGACCTCGGAAACTAAGCAGGGTCGGGCCTTATTAGTATTTGGATGGGAGACAAAAGGAGGAACCCAGAGCAAAAGAATGCCAACACAGCCAGGGGTGGTGCCACACACCTATAATCCCAGCACTCCAAAGGCTGAGGCAGGAGGGTCACTGTGAGTTTGAGGCCAGTCTGGACTACATAGTGAGTTGAGTTCAAAGTCAGCCTAAACTACACAGTGAGACCCTGTCTCCAACAGAATGCCACAATAGAAGTTGGTCTCCCCTCCCTACCCCACTCAGCAAGAGCACCTCTGGCATTTAGAGCAGGAAGGGCTTTGGTGGTACAGGGTGGTCTCAGGCTGCAGGGTTTACAAGAATTCCAGTACCATCAATAGCACCACCAATCCCTACTCTGCCACCACAACCACAAAAACACTGACAAGGTCCCTCTCTAGGGAATGCTGCCCTCCACAACAGAGAGCCATAGAGTTTCCAACAAGGGACAGAAGAGGTAGAATACCTCAGATTTGAGTTTCCAGAAAAATCCTCCTGGCAGCAGCAAGAACACAGGGTAATGAGCTCCTGAATCCCCAAGGGGTTCCTAGAGGAATCCCACAGGAGTGCAGGGTGAGAGGGCCAGATCCCCCAACCCCACTTCCTGCAAAGCAGCAAAGTAGCTCCACTTCTTTCCCATCTCAGACTATAAAGTTTCTTTTGAAAATGCTCCAGAGACTAGGAAAAGAGGGCAGTGGTGTTGCTGTAAACCTTCACTGTAAAATACAGACTGGAGGGCCGGGGATTTAGCTCAGTGGTTCCGCTGCCTGCCTCGCAAATGCAAGGACCCGCGTTCGATTCCTGGTACAAATAAAAAAAAAAACAGAGACTGGAAGAGATAAAATCAAAGGCAAAATGACTAATTAGGAATGACAGAGCAGGCGTTAACAGGAAAGGGCTGGGGGTCGGCAGACTGGAAAGATGTCAAATGCAGACTAACCAAGATTAGTAAACTGTATGCTGTGAAAAAGAAAAAGGGGCCAAGCAGGTAGGAGTCAGCTGCAATAGCTGCCAGTGATAAAGCGCCAAGCACTGTCCTGGAAACATAGTGTCCCACTGAACCCTTACACAGCACCTATCACACAGGCTGTTAATTCCACTTACAGATGAGAGATTTGAGTTTTCTTGTAAGAGAGAAACTTGTCCAAGGTCCTCACTTATTAAGCAGCAGGGGCAAAATCTGCATCCAGATGTAACTTTCTATTCTTTTCTTCTTTTTTTTTTTTTTTGAGACAGGTTCTTGCTATGTAGCCCAGGCTGGCCTCAAACTCACAGTGATTCTCCTGCCTCACCCTCCCAAATGTTGGAATTACAGGTGTGTGTCCAGCTCTAGGTCTAACTCTTAAGACTGATCTGTGCTCTGTATAGAAGGAACACAGGAGGAACCAAAGGAAAAGTAGGCATGGTGGCGCATGTCTGTGATTTAAGCACTTGGGATGCTGAGGCAGGAGGATCACTGAATTTGAGGCCAGCCTGGGCTACATAGCGAGAATCTGTCTCAAAAAAACAAAAAATAAACTAAAATGTAATATTTTAAAAAAAAAAAAGGTAGATTTTTCATTTTAATTGTACCTGACCCCCAAATAGAGATACTTGTTTCTAGGGACCAAAATAGAGTTTGGAGCTAAAGATCTGGATGTCAAGAAGGAAAAGGTGAGAAGGAAACGAGTGGGGGGGGGGGGGACGAGGGAAAAGGAAAGAGAACAGAGTACCCACAAATGAGATCAAAGACAGAATCACAGGACCGAGTTTAGTAGACAAAGGGAGGGAATCAACAGAAGATTGAGAAACATCTGGCCTGGTGGTTCAGGGCTATAATCTCAACATTCTGGGAGGCTGAGTCAGGAGGATCACAAGTTCAAGCCCAGTGTGGGCAACTTAGCAACTCCAGGGTCCCTTGTCTCAAAATAAATTTTTTTTAAATGGGCTAGGGATGTAGCTCAGTTTGAAGGCCCTGAGTTCAATTTCCAGTTAAAAAAGAAAAGAAAATTCTTGTTAGAAATAATGTTTGGGGGCTTTGTTTCTTTTGGTGTTGGAAATCAAATCTAGAGCCTCAGATGCTAGGCAAGTGCTCTCCTACTGAGCTAACATCCTACATCCTAGCCGTAATTAATATTCAAAGGGGAAAATGACCCAAATACAAAGAAGCAACCACACAGTGCTAGATTTCCTAAAAGTACACATCAGTTTCTTAGTCACACATCTTAAAGATACAGTATTAACAGATTTGTTCAATGCATACACAATAGATTATTTGTGGATGCACAGATAAATAGTACTTCTTTATAACTGTACCAAAAAAACGTGTTCAGGTACACAGGACTTGAGTAGGCTTTTTTCTCTTAATTGGTGGAAGATTTTTCTCTTTATTATAAGCAAATCTACCTCACTGTTTCTAACAAGACATTACTGTATTTGAAAGAGACAAAACGTTCTAGTTACCTCCACCAAGGAAGCATCAAACAGTGAGGATCAGGCCAGACCCCTGAGATGAAGGAACAGCTAGGACAGACTTTTGCCTCAAAAGCAGTAGACCGATTTTCTTTAACTTAGAAAACGTTTAACCTGGCATGGTGGCGCACACCTGTAATCTCAAACTCTTGGAAGGCTGAAGCAGAAAGATCACCGTAAAATCGAGGCCAGCCTGGTGTACACAGTGAGTTCAAGGCCGGCCTGAACTACATAACGAGACCCTTTTTTTCAAAAAAGACAAGAAAAAGATTTATCTCAGTGTTGGAGGTTCAAGCAGTCAACTATTTCTACAGAAAAAAAACTACTGTGGCAGGTAGAAGGTTCTGATGAAAAACAAGAGAGCGTTCAGAGGTTCCGCACACCAGAGAAAGGTCCAGGACATCAGGAACGAGCAAGGCTCCCGGGCAGTGACCCGAGGCAAAAGCCGCTGGGCGGGCTGGGGAGATGTGACCCGACCAGGTGCACCGGGGTCGGAAGGAGGCGCAGCCTGAGGTCCAACTGCCCCAAACGGGGTGGGGCGTGGGGGCTGCCAAGCGCGGGGTAGGGACAGGGTGAGGCGGGGACGCCGGGTCCTTACCCTTGTGTTTCTTGAAGCAGGTCACGGAGCAGCTGTAACCGCAGAAAACACGGTCTGTCAGCCCAGATGGCCCTAGGGCGCCTCCCGCAACCCGCAACCCACAGCCCCAGCCCGGCCTCCACCCCGCCTCCACCCCGGCCGGATCCTCGCGCTTCCCACACCCATATCCCCCCCGCCTCACTAGCGCACGCGGCAAGCCGGACAGCGGTACTTGGAATTCTGCAAGCAGATCACGCAGACCACGGTGCTACAGCCCAGCGACGCCATAGTCCCACAAGACCGTTGGCTCCAAACGCGCCGCAGTCCCTCTCACGCCGCGGCGTCTGGCGCACGCCCTTTTCCTCCCGCTTCCCGAATCACGACCAATCAGCGCTCGTTATTCACTGGTAGTCAAAAGCAATAGAGTGATCCTGCTCATTGTTCCAGGACTCATAAGTAGAGCGTCGATACACTCGATGTGCACCTCCGGTTTTCTGATTAGGTCACGTAGGCGAAGAATTTGTTCTGTAGTGCTGTCCCTGCCATTTGCCACTTTCCAGATTTGTTTCCTTGAATGTAAAAAGAATGCATGAGACTCAATCTCCTTTACCTTTCGGCTCAGACTTTCTGAATCTTCCACTGATGTTGGGTTCTCCTGCCCATCTCATCTAGCAAATGGGAAGTTCAGACACTGGCTGAACTAGAATTGGGTGGATCATGTGGCACACAGGAACCTTTCCTTCCCAGACTGGGTCACTTTTCCTAGAGGAAAGAAAGACGTATTGAGGCGTGGTCACTGGCGACTGTTTAGTGAGTTCCAGCAGAGTCCTGCGCTGCCCAGAGGCTCAAGACCTCTGAGGTTCAGAAGATGCTCTGGGCTCCCCAGTAGTTTAAGACCTAGAATGAAAGCAGAATGGAAGAAAGAGGAGAAAAGACTAGTTCTTAGGGTTCTGCGGGTGCTAGCCTGCTCTGGCAGGTCCTGGAGAATGGGTGTTCCTTAAATATTGCCTCCAGGTTCCTCTTTCCCCTCACCCCAGCCCCAGCCCTAATGGGGCAGACAGACCAGAGAGCAGGTGAGTGACCTCTGACCCAAAGGTGGGGATCCTGGGCAGATGAGTCTGAATATATGGGCTATGATGGACCTTGAACACCCTCATGACTTAGTTATAGACAGTCTCCAAGATTGTACCAAAAGTCAAAACCAGAACTGAGACTAGGACTCAGTAACAACGACTTCCAGGCCAGCACACTTCCCACAACACACCAATAAATAACTCTCAAGACTAAATATATTACTTCTCCTAGGATTAACTGTTGTTGTCGCTGTTAGTTTTTGTTTTGTTGTTGCTGTTGTTGTTTTGGGTACCGGGGATCGAACTAGGGTCTTTGAGCTTGCGCAGCAGGCGGTGAAACCACTGAGCCAAATCCCTGACCCTGTTAGTTAGTTTTTGTTTTGAGGCAGGGTCTTGCTATGTAGTCCAGGCTGGCCTTGAACTCACAATTCTCCTGCCTCTATCTCCTTAAGGCTGAGATTATAGATAGCCTCTATCACATCCAGATACTCTATTTTCTTTTTTAAATTTTGTTTTGTTTTAGCCCTACTGGGGATTGACCCAGGGCCTTGTACAAGCTTGGCATGCACTCCACCTCTGGGCTACATCCCAGCCCTTTACAAATTTTTTAATTTTCTTTTATTTAATTTTTAATTTTTTAGGTACCAGGACAGAACTCAGGACCTTGCACTTGCGAGGCAGGTGGCGGGACCACTGAGCTAAATTCCTGGCCCACAATTTTTTAAATTTTAAGATAATGTCTTGCTAAGTTGCCCAAGCTGGCCTCAAGCTTCTGATCCTCCTACTTCCACTGCCTGGGTACTTGGGATTAAAATTGTGCACCACCATGCCTGACTAGAGTGATTGTTTCTTTGTTTGCTGTACTGGGGATTGAACCCAGGGCCCTTCCATTGAGCTACATCCCCAGCCACCCTCCTTTTTTGAGACAGGGTCTTGCTAAGTCACTAAGTTCCCCAGGCAGACCTGGAACTTGTGATTCTCCTGCCTAAGCCTCCCAGAGTGCTGCAATTACAGGCACGTGCCACCACACTCAGATATGTCATGGTTTCAGAGCCTTGCTGAAAAGCTCTGGGTGTAGCCCAGCCTAACCTCGGCTCCCACCTTACCTCTGCTTTGCCCTCTAAAGGCTTTCAGTCACCCTCACCTCCTTCTGTGTTGGCTGTTCAGCCTCCAAGATCCCTTCAATAATGGCATCCAAGGACTGTCTCTGTGTGCAGGGGTAGATCTGCTACAACCTAGGCAGTGGCTGGAGTTTTGCCTCAAACCCCTCCCTGGCTGTGTGACTTAGACGGGTCAGTTTGTTCCTCCCAGGTCCCTCATGTATTAGAAGGAATACTCAGATCTACGTGAGCTGCTGTAAGGGAGAGAGACCACTTTTTAAAAAATTTTTGTTGTTTAAAATGTTATTTCTGTGACACTTGGAAAGACTCTAATTCTCCTGGGTCTCCCTCCCATGAAAGCAGTTTCCAGGCCCCAGGCCACAAGAGGCAGGCACCCCACAGATCAGACAGGTCCAGAACACTTTTTCCATCTGCCTCTGTAGGCTACGACCCATGGTCCAGTGGAGGGTGAGTGATGTTCCCACTTTGGTGTCATGGACCACAGCACAGACGCTGTCCAGTCCCGGGTGCTGATCTACCCTTCCCTGCCTCCAGCCTCCACCCAGGATCCAATCAGAATCCAAGACCAGTCCACACTGACCGAATATCCGCCCCCCCCCCCTTTTTGGGTACCAGGGATCGAACTCGGGTTCTTTCGCTTGCAAGGCAGGCAGCAGAACCACTGAGCTAAATCCCGGGCCCTTGACCCAATATTCCTGCAGCGTTCCTCAGATTCCTCCAGGGTTGCACCACAGCTGGCTTGAACCTGAAGCATCCCAGGAGCCCCATGCTTATCTGGGAAAGCTAATGACTTGTCCAGAACTGCACGTGAATCCTGTGTCCTCTGTGGCACCAGTAGAAATTCTCCCATCATGGAGCACGTGGCCACTGCCCGCTCCAGATTCGTCGTCTGACTTGCGTGCAAAGGCAGAGGCCAGGGAGAGTGCCCTTCCCTCTATTTCCAGAGACACTGACTCCCCCCTGCCTTCCCCTTGCATCCAAACCACCTTGACGCCCTGCCTACCACTGCACAGGTGATGCACATCCTCTGGGATGAAGAGGTCCCTCTCTCTGGCTGGGATGTCCCCAGCTCAGAGCGCTGTACCCCTCCTTCTCCAAGGTCCAGGAGAGGAGACGAGCTCAGCTGTGTCGGAAGACACCAAGAAGCGGAGCTCAGTGCCTCCGAGCAGTGGGCCGTTCAGAGAAGAAAGACAAAGGTAAGTGCAGGCGTGCAACTAGACGTCCACACTGAAGGGGCCGACCATGACAGCACCCTAGCTCTCTCTGGTCCCCCCACCAGTCCCGTCTTAGTGGCTACCTCGCTACTCCCCGGCGTCACAGCGCGGCGCAATGCGGGATCTGGAGAGGCAACGTACAGTAGCAATGGGGGTTTGCAGAGCTTCGGGTCCGGCAGGCGCTGTCCAGCGCGTTCAGATTGGCCGAGGCCGCCTGCAGACGCCCCTGGAGTGAGTTCCAGGCCGGCGCCAGGGGGCGCTGCAGGTCCGGGCCGGCCCAGGCCAGGTAGGCGTTGTACGGGAGGGGAATCCGGCTGAGAGCGCAGGGGAGATCCTGTCGACCCTATGGGCAGGGGTGCCCGCTGTGGGCGTGCCCAGTCTAGGGCTCCCAGACAGCCCAGGAGGGTGGCGCTCCAGTTCGGCCTGATCAAAGTGTAATCGTACTCCGGGGCCTTTGGGTTACTAACTAGGGCACAGTGCCCTGCCTTGTACCTTTCCAGGTGCCCCTGACAGGGTGGGGAGACCGACCTGATATCCCCACATGTGCCACAGGAATTGCCCTTATCACAAGCTGAGGTTGAGGAGCTTGTGTCCTACTGAAGCTCGGCTCCATTCTGCAGCGCTAACATCTCCGTCATCCCTGCTCAGGGCATGGCTGGGATGGACTCGGATCTCACTGCTTGCATCCGGTTCCACTCTGGTATACAAGAGTGAATGGTTCCCATATTAAAGCAAGTAAGGATGCTGGTGGGAGACCCGAGGTTCTACCAGAGTCACAAAATTATACCCATCCTCCAACTCCACCTACCTCAGACTTCAGAGAACTTCCGAACTACGAAGGGGACAGAATGACTGCATTCTCCACAGTCCTCAAACTGTTGGCAAAGCACAGACAACAGAGGTCACCACTGTTTCCTGAACATCTCAACCTTCTGCAGCTTACAATTCTACACAGATCTCCCATCTTACATCCCCTATGCTGTACAGAGATCCAAGGAGTCAGGGCTGCCAGTCCGATCCTCCAGGAAGACTAAAGATTCCTGGTGGAGCAGGAGTGGAGCCCACACGGCCCTCAAACCTCTAACTCTTCTCTACCTTCACATGGCAGAGACTCACAGGAACTCTGCTCAGAGAGGTGCAGGGAAGACAAACTGACATAAGGACTCCCCTTCCTCATCCTTTAAAACAAACTGGCCCTGATCCAGTTTGACTGGGGTCATCTACAAAGAGATGGCAGAGACTCAGAAGGTGGCCTTGTAAGGGCAGAGGATGCAGAGACTGAGTGACGTGCCACAAGCCAAGAAACACTGCAGAGACCAGAAGCCAGAAGACACAAGGATGGCTCATCCCAGGCCGGGAGGCTTGAAGAGACCACAGTCCTTCTAACACGTCTAACACTTCTAGTACCGACATCAAACCTCCAGAAGTATGAAAGAATATATTTCTGGTTTTTAAAACTAGCCAATTTAGGGCCAGGGATTTAGCTTGGTGGTTTTGCCACCTGCTGCGCAAAAGCAAGGCCCGGAGTTCAATCCCCAGTACAAAAAAACAAAACAAAACAAAAAAAACCTAGCCAATTTGTTGTACTTAGTTATGACAGCCATAGAGAAATAATGCAAATATATAATCAAATGTTCCACACACACACACACACACGCACACACCCCCACACATGTACCTCTTAAAATTCATGGAAAGAGGGTGAGGGATTTAGCTCAGTGGCACCATGCCTGCCTCACAAGCACAAGGTCCTGAATTCAATCCTGGTTACAAAAAAAAATTCATGGAAAGAAAACACTCATTATAACTGAATTATTGGATTTCTAAAAATCTAATAAAATCACCAAAAGTGGAGACGTTAAAAAGAAAGAAATCTACCAGGTGTGGTGGTGTGCTCCTGTAATCCTGGCACTCATTGAGGCTGAGGCAGGAGGACTGCCAATAGTTTAAGGGCAGGCTGGACTACATAGTGAGACCCTGTCTCAAAAACAAAAAAGTCAATGGGCCAGGGATTTAGCTCAGTGGTTTCACCGCCTGCTGCGCAAGCGCAAGCACAAGGACCCAAGTTCGATCTCCGGTACCTAAAAAAAAAAAAAAAAAAGATGCAAACACTATCAACCCACTTGACCCAATTGATGTCTGTTTGTTGGTTTTGAGACAGAGTCTTGTGCTTAGCATGCACAAGACCTGGGCTTCAATCCTCAGCACACAAAATAATTTTTTTCAACAAATTTAAAAGAAACCAAACAAAGTATGTTCTCTGACCACAACTACATCAAAGTAGAAATCAATAACAGAAATATACCTGGAGTCTATCATAAGTTGCCATGATAGCCCGGGCTATGTTTCCCAGATGGAGTGTGTACTTTTATCTTTTCTCCCTCTCTCCCTCTCCCCCCCTCCCTCTCTCTCTCCCTCTCTCTCTTTTTCTATTTACTCAGTCTAAGCTTGCTCTGCAGAGCCAGTTTCTCTCCCACTCTTCATTTTTCCTTTCTTGAATAAACTTTGCCTCTGTTTTTTGCTCATTTCATTCAATTCTTTCCTCAAGGAAAGAAAAACCTGGAAAAATAAAAAAGAAATATATCTGGAAAATCCCCAGTTATTTGGAAACTGAAAAAGGTAGATTGAAATTTCTAAATTGAGGGAGAATTAACATCTCCTTCTTTTTAGTGGAATGATCTCTCCACTGATTCAGGTCTTCTTTTATGTCTGCCAAAAAAGCTTTATAATTTTCATAGAATTCTTGTATAGACCCTCATGGATCTCTTCCTAAAAGTTCTCATCCTCTAAATTCAGCTCAGAGTTTAATTTATTTGGTGAAGTCTTTCTTGACTTTCCCTCCAGGTTTTCTTTTTTTTTTTTTCTCCATTTACGGAAACAATATAATTCGGACAGATGCCTCTAACAGACTGTGATCTCTTTGGGGCTTTACCTCTGTGCCCTTCCTCTAGCTCATATTAACACTGGCT